CGAACTACTCAAAATTTACGCTACTGGTTCTCCGAACTACTCAAAATTTACGCTACTGGTTCTCCAGAACCTGTCAGAATTTGCTGGATTTCACCCCTGGTTTATCAGTTACCATTTGGGAAATACGCGACTCATGAAGTCTACCAATGGGGACCAGAAAGGTCTTGGCGTATCACACTCCCCTGGCTATTGTCATTCTAAATCACACCAAAATGTTTACCCCACAGTCTTTGCTTTTCCTTCAGTCTATATTTTATAACAGTTGCAATGTATGGCTGTGAAAGTTGGACCATAAGAAAGGCTGAGCGCCAAAGAGTTGAGACCTTTGAACTCTGGTGCTGGAGAAGACTCCTGTAAGTCCCTTGGACTGCAAGGCGATCAAACTGGTCAGTCCTAGAAGAGATCAACCCTGACTGCTCTTTAGAAGGCCAGATCCTGAAGATGAAACTTAAATATTTTGGCCACCTAATGAGAAGGAAGGACTCCTGAAGAGCCTCATGCTGGGAATGATTGAGGGCAAAAGAAGAAGGGAAAGACAGAGATTGAGGTGGCTGGATGGAGACACTGAAGCAGTCGATGTGAGCTTAAATGGACTCCAGAGGATGGTAGAGGACAGGAAGGTCTGGAGGAATATTGTCCATAGGATCGTGATGGGTCGGACACAACTTCATAACTAACAACAACAAGAGCAGAGGTTTCCAACCTTGGCAACTTTAAGACTTGTAGACTTCAACTCCAGAGTTCCTCAGGCAGCAAAGCTTGGAGTTGAGGTCCACAAGTCTTGCAAGTTTGAAGACCCCTGCTCTAGACAGTGGGTTGGGCTGGATTCCAGTGGAGAAAACCCATTAATGTTAAAGAGAAATAGTCACTTGTACATGGATGAAATCACAAATTGTGCTTGACTCATGGAAGTCACACTAGTGGCAGCAGTAAATTGGGTGTATCTGATCTTGACAAAGCTAAGCAGAATTGGATTTGGTTAGTGCTTGGATGGGACCCCAATGGATAGGGCTATAGTCTGGACTGCAAAATTGTACATCTTCCAGGAGAAAGCTTTGGCAATACACACTGATGCTGTCGCCAGTAGAATTACCATCAGTATATCTATCCAGTCACCAGAAGTCACGCTCAATTTGACCTAGCCTTTACTTTGTAAAATTAAATTTAAAAGCTGAAGCATGACTGAGGCAGAATCTAAACAATGATCTACAAAACTGTGCTGACAATGCTAGAAATAACTTTGCCAGTAAAAACCAGTCCAACAGGGTGGACTTTAGCTTCTGAATTCATCAGGTTGAGTCTTAAAAGTGGAGATCCGTGATGGCGAATCTATGGCAACCGTGCATGTGTGCATGCCTCCCACCGGCCAGCTGAATTCAGATCTCTGCCGCACACGTGGGAGATGTAAGCACATGCATGGGGGGGGNGGGGCGGAGTTTCGGGAGGCCAAAAATGCTGTATAAGACATACTCAGATTTTCAGCCTGTTTTCTGAGGGAAAAAGGTGCATCTTATATTCTGAAAAGTATGATATATATATTTTTTACCTTGCCTTTATTTCTTTTTTATAAATAACTCAAGGCGGCAAACATATTCTAACATTCCTTCTTTCTCCTACTTTCCTCTGTCAGGTTGATTTGACTGAGAGAGTCTAAATGGTGCCCCAAATCATTCTTGGACATTAATTTAATCCTTTGCAATGCGCCAGCCCTCCCTCCAGCCTTCTTTTCAGTGAAACTATATAGGTAGTCCTTGTTTAATGACTGGTTTTCTTAGTGACCGTTCAAAAATTACAATGGGCTCTTAAAAAAGGTACGTATGACTTGGCTTTGAAGGTCTGACAAGTGCATAACTCCCTCCAGCGGTCATGTGATCATCCTCCATAGTCATGTGATCACATTTTGGGCACCTCGCTTATGGCTGTCTGCATAAATGAGAGTCATTGCATTGGTCCTGGGGTCACACGTTTGCAGTTTTCAGTCGGGTTTTGTGGGTTTCCGACTTTTATTCCTGGTTTCCAGCCAAAAAAAATGATTTGTTTAATGATGGCAGTATTCACTTAAGGACCACTGCAAAAATTTGTAAAATAGGGTGTGATCATGCAAGTGACCTGCTTAACAACCACTATGACTAATGACTGTAATTCCGGGTTCAACGATGGTCATAATTTGAGGACTACCTATATCCAATGCCAGTTCAATGAATTTGGCTGAGAATTTCGGCATCGGCTTTCTTCTCTCATCTCATCTCCAGATTTATGGAATCTCCTGAATAAGTTTAAAAGCCTGAACACCTGAAATATGCTTTCAAGCTCAAGGATATGCCACAAGTGGGCCACCTGCAGGAAAGCCCTGTGGAGGGGATGTCTGAAGGCCACACACCTTCATCCAGGGTGAAACAATCCATACCTTGTGATCCCGGAAGGCCGATGGTTCCCACAGGACCTGGTTTTCCTTTGATGCCAAACGGACCTCCTGGTCCTGGTGGTCCTTGCAGTCCATCGAAGCCTGGAAGACCCGGCTCCCCACATCCCCCTTTTCTACCTGACAGGCCGGGCTTTCCTTCCAAACCTGAAAAACAGAAAAGATCTAATTCCCATCCTTTCCCTCTTACATGGGTGCTCAACACAATAGAATAGGAATAGGAATAGGATTGGAATGGAATAGAATTACAGAATGGAATGGAACGGAATAGAAATAGAAATAGAATGGAATAGAATAGAATAGCATAGAATAGGAAAGAATAGAATAGGAAATAGAACAGAATAGGAAATAGAACAGAATAGAATAGGGAATAGAAGAGAATAAGAAATAGAGTAGAATAGGAAATAGAACAGAATAGAATAGGGAATAGAATAGAATAGAATAGGGTAGCCGGCATGACTAAATGCCAAAAGAGCACAGAACACTGTTACTTTCCTACCAAAGGTGGTCCCTATTTTTCTACTTGCATTTTTTACATGCTTTCGAACTGCTAGGTTGGCAGAAACTGGGACAAGTAACAGGAGCTCACTCCATTACACGGCACTAGGGATTCAAACCACCAAACTGCCGACCTTTCTGATCACCAAGCTCAGCCACTGAGCCACCACGTCCCTTAACCACTTAGCCCATTAAATTCTCTCTATCTTCCCTCTTTGAATTCAAAAACCCTTTGAACTCAAACCCCCATACATGGTAGAGTTTCCCATCCAAAAAGGAACCATGTGCAGACCTGATTGAATTTCAGTAACTTTTCAGGTGGTGCTTTAAAACCAAAGAAATATGTTTAGAACTCACCTGGTGTTCCAGGAAAGCCAAAATCTCCAGGAACGCCATTATCTCCTGGTAAGCCAGGCAAGCCAGGTTCTCCTCGGGACCCTGGTTCAGCTCCAACCACATCACCAGGCGATCCATTTGGGCCAACCAAACCAGGACAGCCTTCTGGACCAGGCACCCCATCCCCCCCATCAACTCCTTGTCGTCCTTTTGAACCGGGATCTCCAGGAGGGCCAGGAAACCCTTTCAAGAAATGAAGGCATAGATTAATTCTAAAACAACAGAGAAGAGTTGCTTTAGGGGGACGAAGGTGTCTGAGAAAAGCAGGCAGAGTCTGGAGGTGGAGACAAGAAAGGAACCAGCCTAGAATCTCTACGTAGCTACAAACGGTCTAAGTCTGACCTCTCTTGAATCCCATTCATTGTGGTCTAGTACCATTTTAGTGCTGACCATTAGTTGACTAGATTCTTTTTATGTTTATTATAAATACTTATACACAATGACAAAAACGTACACAACACTTACAAATAACATTGAAAGTGCATGTTCCTTCTTACAGCAGATATCTATCGGTGCATCTTTACAAACACTATTTCCCTCTCAATACATTCCAATTTTACACTTATAGTCCTATTATTTCTTACTCTCTTGCTTATCAGTCTACATTTGATTATTTGTATCAGTCTTTGTTACTCTTCTACTACTACATAATTTTTCCTAGTTTTGTAAATCCTACTTTTCCTAGGTTCTTATCACTATTTCCTACCTCTTCTATAATACAAATTACATTTCCAAAAGTCCTGTTTCCTGTTTCTATCATTTAACCACTTATACCATTTCCCCAAATTAAATAGTACTCTGTTTCCTCCTTTCCTTGAATTTCTTTGGTCAATTTATCCATCTCTGTGTATTCTAAGATGCTCCGTATTATCTCATCTTCATTTGGTATTGTGTTGTTCTTCCATTTCTATGCATATGCTAGTCTGACCTCTGTAGTAATATGTAGGATTAGGTATAGAGTCTCTTTATTGTATTTTGTTGTGGTTAAACCTAATAAAAATGTCTCCAGTTTCCAATCTATGTGATTTGTTGGCTAGATTCTTGTGTATAGACACGAGCAACAAATCTACTTAGCTGGAATTTGTCAGAATATTCCTGACTGGCAGAGACATGGTAACAAGGTCAGCCAATGAATAGACACAGCAATTAAGTCAGCCAATGAGGGCTGTTTAGAAACTGCAACAGTATTTGCTGGAGACAACTAGGCGCCTGGGCACTGTATCTATAGTTCTGAGTCGGTGCTGAGGAACGAAACTAGTCTGGAGTTGTCTGCCGATCTGAACTGAAAAGAAACTCATTCTCTGTATAGCCTGCCTGTGTTTGAACCTGCTTACAATCTCTCCTCTCTACCATGTTGGAAGAATCTGCTGTTGGTGTTGTACATTTATTCATATGTTATTATGTACATAAAGAAGTTAATGCATCCTGATGAATCAGTTATCTGTGCGTGCTTTCTGGATGCTATTTCTACTGCAAACTCTGACAGAATTTAATACACAATCCTGATTCTTTACACCTGACAACATTTGCTGCAACAGCTGATACATCTCATCATCTGCTCATAAAATTATAAGCCCGATCCAAGTGGATCCAGGGTGGTTATGATTTCCAACAAACCCTGGACTGCATAAACTGCAAAAATAGTCTGCAAAATTCTTTGTGCGCCGAACCGGCAGTAATGCCAGCAGCAACCCACCCCTGCTCTGGAACCTGGGGAGGGCAAAAACACACACCCCCACTGCCATTGTGCAGGAGGCCAAGTAGGCCATGCCCACCATGGCCATGCCCACCCAGCAACCGGGCAGAGAACTGGTTGCTAAAAATTTTCAATCCCACCCCTGAATGGTACTAAATGAAATGTTGTAAATTGAGGACCATCTGTAGTTAATTTTTAAAAAATTCAGTTATTTCAATTGATTCCTGGTGATTTCATGAGTACATCCATCGAAGAGTTTTGGCAATATGACGAAGTGTGTGGCCAATGACTTCTGGATTTTTGCCTCTTTTCTGGTCCTTACCTGGCATTCCTGGGAATTGAGCCACCCCAGGTATGCCCGGTTCTCCTTTTAAGCCATTGAAACCTGGCTGCCCTGGAAAACCAGGATATCCTTTGCTACCCTTGGAACCTGGAAAGAGAGGAGAAAATCAGTTGGGTAAGAAACAAAGATGTCTCTCTCTTAGCTTCCTAGAAAAACTATAACAACCCCGTGACTCCCCTAAACACATTTTGCATTGAAGCACTCCAACGAATAAAGTCCATTTAGCTGGGATTTTTTTAAAATTAAAAAGTTTTTATTTATTTTTTAAATATAAAGATTCCATCTTTCCTTAAATCATGTGTTGTCTGGGTACAAATAACCATCAAAATTTACAACATCATTTACTATGTTGGTATTAATTCTCTAATCTTGGAATTATAGTATATTAAACAGTTGAACATAATGAACCTGTTCATTTTTCCCTCTTAATGTATCTTCTAATAAAAAATAAAATAATAACACCAAGCATAATAATTCTCATCATCATCATCATAATACTAACAATTATTATATTCTTTGTATCTCTATCTTAACATATGTTCTACTCTTCTTTAATCTCCTTTTATTTCCAACTTCCATTTTTATTCTCTAACCGTTGACAAAATAATTCCCATATCATATAATATTCAGCTTGTTCTTTCTCCTTAATTGCCACTGTTGGGTCCTTCTTAGCTTCCTAGAAAAACTGTAGCAACCACATGACTCCCCTAAACACATTTTGCATTGAAGCACTCCAACAACTAAAGTCCATTTAGCTTGGTTGTTTTCTTGCAGAATTTTCATTACTCAACTAGGAAACTTCGTCAGTACTAGTAAGGAGTGCAATTTGCTGTAAGTTTAAATTCCAGTGGCTTGCCTGTCAGTGTTGGTGGGGGGCGGTCTTAGAGGTTCTTTGGTTTGACTGTTTGCTGCTGGCTTCTTTGGCAGTTTCTTGATTGGGGTATTGTAGATCTGAGGTTCACCTTGGAGCTAATCTATGCTGATCTGGGTGCTGATTGCTGATGGAGAGATGGTTGGGTCTTTTTGTTGTGTAGATTATCTCTTTTGCATAGTGTGGTACATCATGGCTGCTGTGTTGCAATATTTTCGTGGAGGGCTTATTTTCAGGGGAGGGCTTATTTTAGCACAGGCACTCAAAAGCCTCATTGGGTTTATTATCCAGGTAGGTCTTATTTTGGGGAAAACAGGGTAGGAGAAGAACCCCCTCCTTCCCAAATCTCATCTTGCAAGAGTTTTTCATTCACCTATAATTGATCCCCGCACCCCACATACACAACTTTCAGATTGCTTCTTACATATCATAAGGTAAAGGTTCCTCTCGCACATATGTGCTAGTCATTCCCAATTCTAGGGGTGGTGCTCATCTCCGTTTNATGGGAAGTGTACTGCAAAATCTCCATTCCCTCCTCACTCCAGGGGAAGGATACTGCAAAATCTCTGTTCCCTCCTCACTCCAGGGGAAGGATACTGCAAAATCTCCATTCCCTCCTCACTCCAGGGGAAGGATACTGCAAAATCTCCATTTCCTCCTCACTCCAGGGGAAGGATACTGCAAAATCTCCATTCCCTCCTCACTCCAGGGGAATGATACTGCAAAATCTCCGTTCCCTCCCCATGCCAGGGAAAGGCTATTGAAAATTCTCCATTCCCACCCCATTCCAGAGGTGGCATTGGCCGGTTCTCCAAACTTCTCAAAATTTCTGCTACCAGTTCTCCAGAACCTGTCAGAACGTGCTGGATTTCACCCCAACCTTCTCCAGGATGAGAAGTCCATGTGCAGGAGCCCTACATACAAATCTCTTTCCGAAAAGATGAAGGCCACAATTCTTGGCAGAATTGAAATAAGGGGTATCACAGTCAGCGCATATTTTGTAGCAAAAATAGGCTAGGCAGCTGTTAGTCCGAGAGTTTTTACGCTACAAAGCATTTGCTCTCACCTTGGCAGCCTATGTGGAGAACCCCCAAAACCAAAACAGTGTGACATCAGAAATGGAGAGATGATGGCAAATGGAAGAGAAACATGGTGAGGAAAAACAGACAAAAACATGTGAACCAGGAAGAAAAAAAGCACAAGGCCGAGAATGAGTTAATGACTTGGAAAATAACTGAGCTCTTGTCTTGATGGAGATTCTCAGTCATCCAGGTCATAGTTGTCCCAAAGGTGATTATTTTTCTCAAAGGCAATTGGACTTTGTTTTTGCTTGAAGACATTTCACTTCTCATCCAAGAAGCTTCTTCAGAACTGGAGAAGCTTGGATGAGAAGCAAAATGTCTTGAAGGAAAAATAAAGAAATTCCAAGTTGCCTTTTGAAAAAATACTTTTGGGACAACCAAACTCTTTCTCAACACAGCTTAGATCAGAGGTCTTCAAACTTGGCGACTTTAAGACTTGTGGACTTCTGGGAGTTCAAGTCCACAAGTCTTAAAGTTGCCAAGTTTCAGGACTCCTGGCCTAGATCAAATGCATGAATGGGGTCCCCTGGGTTTGGGTGGATGGAGACAGCAGACAGAAGTGTGAAAATTGGGCTGCAGCTGCTGGTGGTAGAAACATTTGAGTAAGGGGGAAGATTGTCCCAAAGGTGCTTTTTCAAGAGGCAACTGGACTTCCTTGTTTTTCTTTGGAGACTTTTGGCTTCTCATTCAAGAAACTTCTTCAGCTCTGACTGGAGGGTGGGTGAATGGAAAGATTTATATTCCTTGTAGACAGCTGTTTATTTGCACTCTTTTAGAGATTGAGGCCACCATCCAGTCAGAGATGAAGAAGCTTTTTGGATGGGAAGCGAAAGGTCTTCAAAGAAAAACCAGAAAGTCCACTTGCCACTTGGAAAAAGCACCTTTGGGACAACCGTGACCTGGATGACTGAGAATCTCTATAGATGTTAAGGGAAATATAGTTTTCCTCCAGGATTTCCTTTGAATATTTTTATTTCCCTGGATTTTGTTTTCTTTCCATGCCATCCCAGGACTTCATATTTTTATTTCAAGGAACTGTTTCTGCTGTGGCATCAAAGCCAAAGAAGACCACCTTCCACCACCTTAATTGACAGCTCAGTTATCCAGGATGTGGATGATAGATGGATTCTCCTTTTGGTGAAGGATCCATGCATGGTCAAGTGGAAGGATCACTATGGCACCAGAGGTGGGTTCCTACTGGTTTGGCTCAGTTTGGTATGATATGCCAGCCTAGGTCACAGAACCGGCAGTGACCCAGGCTGGCAACGCCCCAAAACTGGTTTCCTGGTTGCTGCCATCTTTTTTTGATGTTCTGTGCATGCGCAGAATAATTTCCATTGAACTGTGCATGCGCATGTAGCGTGCATCCAGCCCGTGTGCGCATGAACAAACTGGCAGTAACGCCAGCTAGAACCCACCCCTGTATGGCATGCAGAGCCATCTCTCTGGGCACACCAGCCATCGGCCATTGCTCTTCCGGGTTCCAGCATCAGTCAGCTGGTCTTCGTGAACACAGGAGCATCGGAAACAGAAGAGCAGCTCCCTTGGGCACATGCACATGTCAGAAAGCTGAGCTTCTGGTTTACAGAATGTGCATATGCGCCAGCCAGCTGGTCTTTGCGCGCAGGTGCACACCAGAAACCGGAAGACCAGGTGACCAGTGCACATGCGCTTGCTGGATACTGGAAGCTCAGCTTCCTGGCACATGCATGCGTGCCAGGGAACTGCACTTCCGGTTTCCAACGCTCCCCCTTCAAGTGTGCACGCACTCTCGTTTTGACACTTGGTGCCAAAAAGGTTCGCCAACACTAGTACCCTATTTCTCTGAAAATAAGCCCTCCCCAGATAATAAGCCCAATCGGGCTTTTGAGCACATGTGCTAAAATAAGCCCTGCCCCAAAAATAAGTTCTCTCTGAAAATATTGCCACACAGCAGCAGCCATGCGGTGACCATGCTCACCGTCTCCTGCACCTCAAAAATAATAAGACCTCCCCAAAAACATGGCCAAGTGCTTATTTTGGGGGGTTTAAAAGAAATAAGACCCCTGTCTTATTTTGGGGAAAACATGGTATATACTCTATAATGCAAGCAGACGTAAACCAATTCCTGGCACCTTCATTAAGAGAATCTGGATGTTTATTGAAGGCTAATTGCTGAGATTATTGAAGGGCACTTTATCAAGTAAGAAAGGGAAACTGAGGACAGCCCAGCAGTTACAACTGGTAAAAACATAGCAATTATGAAATCCAGTGCCTACGTTTATATAAATTTAGACCGATGTATGGATTTGCAAGATAATTTCTGTTCCAGAACAACAATGGTTGGGAATTATACTGGGCATAGAGCTAAGCACTGTACTTGAACTGTTTTTATTCTTGTTTGACAATAGAATGATTTATTGTGGTGCCATTTATTAAACTCCAAGCAGTTTCATCAACAGGGACTTGTGGCTATCACCCAAGAGGCTGTTGAGAAATTAAGAACACCAGTTTTCTGGTTGCCTATAGAGATTCTCGGTCATCCAGGTCATGGTTGTCTCAAAGGTGCTTTTTCAAAAGGCAACTGGACTTTCTTTGCTCTTGAACATTTCACTTCTCATCCAAGAAGCTTCTTCAGTTCCTTCTTCAGAGCTGAAGAAGCTTCTTGGATGAGAAGTGAAATGTTCAAGAGCAAAGAAAGTCCAGTTGCCTTTTGAAAAAGCACCTTTGAGACAACCATGACCTGGATGACCGAGAATCTCTATAGGCAACCAGAAAACTGGTGTTCTTAATTTCTCAACAGCCTCTTGGGTGATAGCCACAAGTCCCTGTT